TTTTTCTGCAATGATTACTTTTACACCTTACTTTAAGTACATTTTCCTAAACACAAGTAAATACTTTTACTTAAGTACTATTCTCAATGCAGTACTTTTACTTGAGTATTTCTACAGTGTACTATTAGTACTTTTACTTAAGAATCTGAATCCTTTTTCACCCACTGCTTATGCAACAGCAGCACTAAGCTCAGTTATTATGGAGAACATGTCAGACATCCAGAGTAATACTCCTCCCCATATGACAGATGATTAGGCCTTAAATAGCCACTATTGACACTAATAAGGGCAAATATCCCTCATTATGTTTTCCACAAGTGATAGCAGAGGCTACTCAGGCGTGGTGGGTTGGGGGGGGGGGGATTGGGGGGAGGAGACGGGACGACCCATGGGAATAAAAACAGCAGATCTGGTGATGTCCAGGGCCGGTAGCTCATGTCTGAGGGTGTGTCGAGTCTGAGGTCGATGATGGGGATAAGATAAGGCCCCGCAGCGATAAGGCTCCAGAGTTTAGAGGGCTGAGGGGCCTCAGAGTGATGAGGCAGGGAGGACATGATTAGAGTAACTGCTACCTGGGAAAAACATGGGTTTGGACCAATTACTACAAACTATAAACTACAGCTCTTATGACGTACTATTAGAGGAGACCTGACAGGTGCTATATGTCTTGATTTAACTAAAGCTCAACATTATCTTCTTACAGATACATCTGGCATATCTTGATCCGCTTTACTTTATTAGTTTAGTTGATTTTAAGTTTTAATAACAAAATCAGTCTCTTCTATTAAAGGTAGGGTAGGTAAGAATGAGAAACCAGCTCGAGATCGCTAGAATTTGAAAATACACAACCGGAAAAAATCTGCCACTTCCTTACAGAGCCCCTCCTCCAACACACACGAACGCGCACATGACCAATGAGGCCACGAGATAAGTTTGTGCACAGATGGAAGGCTGACAGGCAGGTAGGCCATCCAGTTATTTTAGCCGGGCCGGCTCAGATGATTGGTCGTGCTTTTTACAGCGCCACGGCTTCCACAGATGACATTTTTTTATGTATTTATTATCAAAGCATTTAATGTATTCATTGCTATCGGGATGTTAAGAGCATTCCATGGAATATAACAAAAAGTGTTTCTGAAGTGAATTACCTACCCCACCTTTAAATACCAATTAAATCCAATTAGGTAACTTTGCGAAAAGCCTCCCCCAAGTATGAATTGGTCGCTATTTTTCACTATTTTCTAGGGCTGTCAGTCGATTAAAATATTTAATCGCGATTAATCGCATGATAGTCCATAGTTAATCGCGATTAATCGCAAATTAATCGCACATTTTTTATCTGTTCTAAATGTACCTTAGAGGGATATTTTTCAAGTTTTTAATACTCTTATCAACATATGAGTGGACAAATATGCTTTATATGTTTGTTTATTATCATTTGAACAATGACAAATATTCTCATGAATATTAAACACAACAACCTCTGAACATTACAAATATTCGCCTCAATTCAACCTGGAACCTCTCTCATACAATAATTGTGTGTGTGTGTGTGTGTGTGTGTGTGTGTGTGTGTGTGTGTGTGTGTGTGTGTGTGTGTGTGTGTGTGTGGGTGTGTGTGTGTGTGTGTGTGTGTGTGTGTGTGTGTGTGTGTGTGTGTGTGTGTGTGTGTGTGTGTGTGTGTGTGTGTGTGTGTGTGTGTGTGTGTGTGTGTGTGTGTGTGTGTGTGTGTGTGTGTGTGTGTGTGTGTGTGTGTGTGTGTGTGTGTGTGTGTGTGTGTGTGTGTGTGTGTGTGTGTGTGTGTGTGTGTGTGTGTGTGTGTGTGTGTGTGTGTGTGTGTGTGTGTGTGTGTGTGTGTGTGTGTGTGTGTGTGTGTGTGTGTGGACACTGTGATGGATCGTTGGAGCTCGAACATGTGCTGCCTGGACGCTGCAATCATGTAGCGCGTACTATCCGTGCTGAGTGAGCTGACTTTTCGTACAATGTCCCACTGTCTGGCTACCTGCATAAAGTCAAGTGCTCGGCGCAGTTGTCGGCGAAATGTCCTTGAAACAGCTCCTTATATCCATTAGCGCAGCTAGCTAGCACCAGATGCTAACAACAACAACACGTAAGGTGTGCCTCGCTCGCGCGAGTCGCGCCACACATACACACTCCCTCCCGATGGCCAGTCCGGGCCTGCCGGTGAGCGTGGAAGTGTGGTCTGCCACAAGCGGGCAGCAGGAGCGGGGCTGTCAGCATCAGCTTGTAGATGGTGTTTTAAAACTCGATGCGCTCTGAAACTACGGGGCGGCGAGGACAAAAAATACACATGCGTTAATCGCGTTAAAATAATTAGTGGCGTTAATTTTTTTTTGCGTTAACGCGTTATTAACGCGTTAACTTGACAGCCCTACTATTTTCACAACTGATCTTCCATAAAACCTTTTAAAGGCAATAATATATATTTTTGGAGTAACTGAAGCTGTCAAAAAATAGTAGTTTAGACAAGAGTAGTATATTTTCCTCTGAAATGGAGTCAAGTAGAGGTAAAATGTGACAAAAAATACATCAAACTTGTATTTAAGTATACTGGAGTAAATGTACTTCTCCAACACGGTTTATTAAAGAACTTGAGCACGTCTGAAAATCATTCTTGTTAGGTTATTATTAAGTTAAGTCATTAAATGTGAACTTGGGGAGGAATAACTTCCTAAAGCGAGGGAATCATACCTCAAACAAGCAGCAAAAATGTGTCATTGCTGCCTCTGATTTAGTTTCTGTGATTGATGAGAAAGCAGCATGTGAGCAAGAAACAGTATTTTGTGGAGATGTTCCATCCTCCACAGTGCCATCAATTCTCCTCAAGTTTAAGTGAACCCACTCTTCAGTAAAGATGGTGCTTCGGTCCTTGCAGGCTTGAGAAGAGAGGCTTTAAACCTCCTTCCTTTGCAGCTTGACTCTCTGAAACACCTCGGTCGGTGTCAGAGATCGTCCTCGCTCTGCAGGGAGAGCCCGTGTGGTTTTTTCATTACTCAGATCACGACAGTCAAACGGTTGTGAATATCCCGGCGGAGGCTGATCCAGTAGGCTCATAAATGCCCAGGCGTCCATCCATTTGTTCATGTGTGATCTCATTTATCACACTTGTCACTCCCGGGGCAGCTATAATCTCCCAGAAGCTTTTAGTAGAAATCCCGCTGACAGTGTTATTTGAAATGCCCTGTGATTATTCATAATAGAGTTTACACATATTTGTTGAAAAGATGGAGGTACGCTTAATAACTGTAAGGACAAAAATAACTTGTATCAGTTCTTACAAGGGAATCCTTTTTTTCCCACTGTTGTTCAGACGGTTGCCTGCATGGTGTATTACCTCCTTAAGACGCAGGGATATAATGAGATGGCTCGTGGGATGAGGCGCTCAGTATGAAAAGGATTAAACACAAAACACCAGTGTACTTTCACACAGTTCACAGACTGCACACTATAATCTTCCAAATCCTGTCAAAATCCCAGGGATGTATGTTTCACTAGCAAATATACACAGTCTCTGTACGTTCCTCCTTTCTCCCACTGCGACGCGACTGCATCTGAATGAGAAAGAGCATCTCGATATGTTTTGGCAGGCCAATAAAAGAGAGAAAGTAATATTTGTGGACGTAACTCTTTTACCCTGAGACAGGTTTACAGTCTCGTGCTGGCAGGATGGATTCCTGAAATCAACTTTCCAGACACAGGGAGTGAAAACAACTCCCTTTCTTTTGTGAGGGAGACGAGGCTCGGCCCGATATTCATCAGTGGGGATAACCTCTGACCCCAGAATCATATGACGCTGAGTGCTGGGGATCCTGCTGCAGCCAGACAGTCTGTCTGAGTCTCTCTCTCTCTCTCTCTCTCTCTCTCTCTCTCTCCTTCTCCTCTCTCCTCATCTCCTCTCCTCTCCTCCTCTCTCTCTCCTCCTCTCTCTCTCTCTCTCTCTCTCTCTCTCTCTCTCTCTTACCGACACTTCTTCCCCCCTCCCTTTCTGCCCATCTCCCACTTTTTCCTTTTTCCTCACCTTTCCTGCTATCTTAGGACTGTGTGTAAATGGTTAGGGTGTGGTTGTGCTTCTGAAACTACAGTGTTTCTAATTAATTATAAATTATTACACTACTTTCCTGTAGTGTGTCACATAGGTTTTTGTGCATCTATCTATGCGAGCGAGCGAGCCAGACAGCCAGCCAGCCAGCAGCAGCCAGCCAGCCAGCGAGCCATGAGCCAAGCCGCCAGCCAGCAGCCAGCAGCCAGCCAGCCAGCCAGCCAGCCAGCCAGCCAGCGAGCCAGCCAGCCAGCCAGCCAGCCAGCCAGCAGCCAGCGAGCCAGCGAGCCAGCCAGCCAGCCAGCCACCAGCCAGCCATCCATCCATCCAGCCAGCCAGCTAGCCATCCAGCCATCCAGCCAGCCATCGATCTATCTATCTATCTATCCATCCATCCATCCATCCATCCATCCATCCATCCATCCATCCATCCATCCATCCATCCATCCATCCATCCATCCATCCATCCATCCATCCATCCATCCATCCATCCATCCATCCATCCATCCATCTATCCATCTATCCATCCATCCATCCATCCATCCATTTTGATGATAAAATATTTTACTTGTATCAGTATTTTTTACACTGTCTAACATATACATAATAACCCCTGTTCCCCTTTAATGATGATCATACAAATGTGCATCCCCTTGTCTTATGACACAGACTAAACCTGCTTTTATAAACTGAGGATTTCATGGAGCATTTTAAATCTAAGAGAAATATCTCCCCTCTTACACCCCCCCCTTCTTCTCTTTCCACTCACCCCTCAGATACCAGCATGCAGACAAGACGCTGGGCTCTCACCGCCCCAAACAATCACCATTAGGTGGGCCATGACAGAGCTTTTCCACACCGTGCGACGGACTGAAACAGCTGCTGACAGGCCCATCTCCCCCGGCCCGCTGCGGTCTGCTGCCATGCTCTGATTGTGACACCGGTTTTCGGATAAGGTACTCTCAGGACATACCTAAAGATGACAGCCCGATAAACAAAATACATAATGGCTTTTCCTACATTTGATTCAATTTTCCCCAAGATCCAGGCACTGCTAAATTGTTTCCATCTCGCAGCACTGTACTCTTATCTGGTGATCACAGGTTCTAACCTTAACATGATGCAATGGATGTCAGGGTTGATGTATCGAATTTTTATTTTTTCTCTAACGGTAATTACCGAGCAATTATGGATAAATCTCAGGGTAGGATGCATTCATACTTTCACTAATCCAGACATGGAGCCGCTAAACATGTAATTACCTTATAAAAGAAGTATGCCCAATTTACATGCACTCAACAAAATGTAAGGGCAGATAATGTGGTGATTTTCACCAAGATAACTACTGGGATCAGGTGTTTACGCACTAATCAGTGTTGAAGCATGTTGTGAAGAGCCTGTATAATGAACTCCAGCAATTATAACAGTAATTTAATGTTCCCGTCTGCAGACTGTTACCTCACCTTTACTGCTATGGTGTTGACACTGAATACAAATATGTGTACTCATGATGTATGGTGGCGAAATATGACATGTTTTGATGAAAAGGGGGCTTGCAGGTGGGTTGCAAAGTCCCCTCCTCCCTATGCTTACAGGAAAAAGCGACCAAGCCCATATTGCATACATTGCTGTGCACTTCATAATTTGGCAACTGTAGTGTTTGATGCATTTCACTCAAGTGAGTCATGGTTGGAGTGGAGCCCCGTGCCAAGGAGGTGTTGGGTTTGAGTGTTCAGAATGAGGCGGAGAGCGTGAGGTGACATGTTCTGCTGGTACAGAGGATATGTGAGATACTCCTGTAATGAGTGCTTTGTGAGATAATGGTATGCACGAGCCCGCCTCCTGCTATGTTCCCTCACACGGCTCCACAGGCAGCAACAGCCGGAGGAACAATGCCGAAACATGTCATGGAGACGAGCTCGAGTCGGGGGGGTGGAGCGCGTTGAGAAATATAATTTGATTTACACATGGCAGGTGATTTAGTTGCATTAGATCAAACTTAAGTACAACTCTAAATCTGATCCAAATAAGACATCTCACTGGGTCTCTTATATATGTTAAAGGCTGGATCCAATATTTGTGCATCCGTCATCATGTTCATATTTGCCATCTAAAACCCAAATGATTTGCAAAAATAACGTTTTTTTTAAGCATTTTCTAAAAGCCTTCATCAATCTGGGAAAATCAAGTGAGTATCTTCCAAAGTCACCCCTGTTTCAGCACCAAATTCTCTTTTTGTTAGAGTACCATACTGTCTTTGCTACAAATGAACGCAACTGATTTTTTGCCGCTTGTGCTAGCTAGCGAATATAGCTTGTGACACAGCATTGACATATCACCTTTTAGGTTCCCATGGACAAATTGTTGGCAAATAGGTGATTATTTACCCATTTAGCAGTTACAGAGAAACATTTTTATATATTTGCAGCCAAATAGAAAGTGAGCTAGAAGTTACATTTTTGCTCAGTTTTTGGTCTCCTCCAACTCCTTATGCGGAATATGTTGCTCTTTAGTTTCTAAATGCTTCTTTTTGTTCTGCTGGTGATCACAGTTCAATTTGGTGCTAGGAAGATAGTGAACAGAAGGTTTTTAGAGCTTTTTCCTTCCCTGCTTTAGCTGAAAACGACACTAGAGCAGAGAGTGTACCAAAAGCTTGAAGTTCTGGGTCAGATAGCGAAACTATGAGCTACTGTAAAACCCACGATAAAGCTTCGTTAGCCGAGAAGGAAGTGCAGATTCTGTTGATAATTATCTGTATGTTCATTGTTACGATTAACCCACAAAATGTAGATAATTGCTGCTTTAAAGGTCCCATGTCATGCTTTTCTGGTTATTACCCGTCCCCTTGTGTGTTATGAAGGTTTTTCTGCATGTAAACGGTCTGCAAAGTCACAAACCCTCAAAGTACACCCTGTAGCGAGTAAAACTCTAACACAGAAAAGACCTGTCTATGCTGCCCCAGAACGCCTCGTTGGAGATTTCTCTTTTTCCATTGTTTTCTTCCAGGGTACAGTGACGTGCCCATACCCAGATGGACCAATCCGTGGAGCCGTTACATTACGTCCGCGGAGCCGTTAGGTCCAAATGGACCAATCCATGGACTTCCTCACACACACACACACTCAATATTTTCTCAGCTGCAGCTCCACCGATTTCTCCTCCCTGAGACGGCGGGACGCGGCGAGGCTGTGAGTCGGTGTGTGAGCACACACACAAACTCCCAGCCAGGCTGCGGGTGTGTGTGTGCGTTCGGGCTGGTTTCGGGCTGGGTTTTGCTGTGTCTCGCTGTCTCGCAGACGGCCACTGGGCTCACAGGGAGGGGGGGGCAGGAGCTCCAACAAGCCGTTTAGGACAGAGAGTGAATACACATACTATCCAGAGATGCTGTATGAGAAACCAATGTGAGTTTGGAAAATTGCACAATGTAAATCTATTCTAGTAGACCTCAACAATGGAATTATGATCAGTAGAAATGGCCATGACATGGGACCTTTAAGAAAAACTTTGGTATACTTTTATTGCAAATAACGACGACTGTAGATTTCTGATGAACTGCTTTGGATAGGCATGCGAGTCCTGGTTTAAGACAGACTTGAAAAAGTGTGCACCTATCTGTTAAACCACTTGATATGAGTGTGTTTGTGGATGCTCAGAAGCATGTGTACACAACATTTTGCTGCAGAGAGCAGCGTCTAGACGGGGAGCGGTGTGGCTAACATCTGTGTGCTCCTGTCCCGCGACAAATAGCTGTGACGGCATTTCCTTGGATTTTCTCTCACATACTGTGTCTTTATTTCCAGTGGTCAAGCTCCCATTGCAGCGCCCACCATGGATAAATGCTGCTTTTGTGAAGAGTTGTTACCCCTCTGAGCAGCTGTCCCCAGCCCCTCAGGCAGGACTGCACTCAAAAACTAGAGCAAGTGCGTTTCGGCTGTCAGGGCAGCGAGAAAAAGAGCATTCAAGCTGAGAGACAGTTTTCATTACAGCGCACAGCCAACTTTAGATATCATGTTGGAAAGAATATTCTCTCAAGAAGACCCTGTATGAAACAAATTGAAACGGGACACACCTGTGTACTGTGCATACTTGATGTGTGTACATAATACATACTTCATTGAGATCTGGCTTGGATACACCTCACACCTCAAACCATTTCACAATTCCTGGTAGTATCATGACTCACTCTGATGCGCCGAGGATGTTCCAAAAATGTGGTTTGTAGTCACATTAAGCTGTTAACTTTCCAAGATGATGTGGCCAACAATCAAACAGAGATCCAGAGCTCAAGTAGAATAAACTTGCATGGAAAAAAAAAAGATTTATCTCAGAAAACGATTGCAGTAAAGAGAATAAATGGGCTACAAAGGTTACAGTGATGGGATGAAATTAAGTATATTTACTCAACTATCAAACTGTATATATACAATTACGCGGTACTTTAACTGAGTATTTTCCTATCATGCTGCTTTATACTTCCACACTTCTTCATTTTGGAAGCCAATATTAAACAGCTCAATTTTCTTTTGTACTTTTACTTAAAGAAAACATATTCTGCTCATTTTCATGTTCATATCAGTATGTAGTGTCTCTACTGTGACATGTCTCCATGCTTTAATGTTCAAAAAGCTCTTTATTTTTCTCATACTGCCTGTGCTACAGCACCTCTTTTCACCCTCTGTCTGAAACCAGAGCCCAGTCTGCTCTGATTGGTTAGCTGGCCGGCTCTGTTGTGCTTGATCAACCACTTAGAGATGTCCCGCCCCTTAGCCTATCAGGTACAATGTGTTGGAGCACTAGCCAATAGAAGTGCAAGTGTTACATAGTGATGTCACTATTTTACAGAAGTAAACAAAGGAGTCTAATGGAGGCGTTTCAGCATAATACGGCCTCTTTGAGAAGGAGTTTGAAAGCAGGACTTTTACTTGTTTACAATGTAGTAATGGTACCTTTTAATCAATCTGAGTGCTTCTTCCACCACTGATAGGTTAACAGAGCTGTGGAGGCAGACAAACCTGGCTCTAAGAGGCTGATTAAATACAGGAGATGCAATGAAGCCAGGCAGAGCAAGTGTGTCTCTAATAAGGCCTTGACTATTACCTGGAGTGACAGCCAGAGAATGGGAGGAGAAGGGCTGGCTCCACTCTGCTCACTCAGCCAGAAAGCCCCAAACGGCAGGGCTAACGCAGGTCAAGTGATTTGGCGCCTCGGGTGTATTAAAGCTATTTACAAGGGACTAAAGGATTTACGTTGCTTCACCCATTCGGCCTGCGCTTTTATACGACCTGGCACCGGGCTGCTAAGTTTTCTCTCAATCAATACGAAAGGGTAATAAAGAATGTTGCCTTTAACGCCCCGTTTGGCTTTTTGTTCACTTTGCAGGGGGAAAGGAGGTTTTTACGGGCCGCTCCTGACGCCTGGTGTGAAGGCAGCGCGTGAGATTATAGAGATCCTCTGCACTCTGTCTCACACACACACACACACACACACACACACACACACACACACACACACACACACACACACACACACACACACACACACACACACACACACACACACACACACACACACACACACACACACACACACACACACACACACACACACACACACACACACACACACACAGGCAGGTATAAGGACCTCCTGTGAGGAGGTGAAGGCTGCTGTAATGAATAACAATCTAGAAAACAGTTGTAACAACCTAAAGTATTTCTTCATCAAACAAGTTATAATTGTTGTCAATAACTATTCAAAACTGTGCATAACTTCATTATAGTGTGTGGTAATACATGCTATAGAAATAAGGCCATTTATTAACCTTATGTAACATTGTGTGGTAGTCTCAAATCACTTCAGTTTTTTCACACGTCTTAAGATAATCCATTTCTGAGAATGGATTCTCTAAACGAGTGCTCTCTTTTTTCAAGGAGACTCAATTATTTTTTATTGAGGT